GAGTTTGAGATCAGCTTGAGCAACATAGCAAGAGCCCATCTCTGCAAAAAATAGAAAAATTAGCTGGGTGTGGTCATGGCAACTGTAGTCCCAGCTACTTGGGAGACTGAGGCAGGAGGATCGCTTGAGCCCAGGAGTTTCAGGTTGCAGTGAGCTGTGATTGTGTAAAATCTATAGATTAGTTTGGGTAGAATTGCTGTCTTAACAATATTAAATCTTCCAGTCCATGTATATGGAGTGTATCTCCATTTATTTAGATCTTTAATTTAACTTTAACAATGATTTGCGGTGTTCCATGCATAAGTCTTACACTTCTGGATTCCAGAAGTATTCTCTTTGGTGCTATTATGAAAGGAATTATTTTATGAATTTAAGTTTTGGGTTGATTGATTTTTATATAGAAATACTACTGATATTATATTGACTTTTTTCTTGTGACCTTGCTAAATTCATTTATTAGATCTAGTAGAGGTGTGTGTATTCTTGAGGATTTTCTACGTAGAATGGTGTCATCTGCCGAAGAAAAAGATACTTCTTCCTTTCCAATCTGGTTGCCTTTTATTTATTTTTCTTGACCAATTTCACTGGCTAGAATTGTAGTATAAGTTTAAATAGACCTGGTAAGAGCAGATATCTTCTTCCCAATCTTAGGGAGAAAACATCACATCTTTTAGCATTGAGTATGATGTTAGCTGTAGGTTTTTTGTAGATGCCCTTTACCAGTTTGTTGAGTTTCTGTCATGAAAAGATATTGGATTTCATTAAATGCTTTTTTTGTATCTATGAGACTATTGTGGGATTTTTGTCCTTTGTTCTATTAATATGGTATATTGCATTAATTTATTTTCAGATGTTAAACCAACCTTGCATTCCTGGGATAAAATCTGTTAGATGATGGTATAGAATCTTTTTGTTTTTCTCTTTTTTTAGAGACAGAATCTCTCTATGTTTCCCAGGCTGGGCTCAAGCCGTCCTTCCGTCTCAGCCTCCTGAGTGTAGGCACATGCCACTGTGCCCAGCAGAATCCTTTTTTTTAGTTGGGGGATTCAGTTTGCTAATATTCACTGAAGATTGTTAAGTCCATAGTAATGAGGGATATTGAACATAGCTTTTTTTTCTTGTGATATCTTTTGTCTGGCTTTGATGTTAGGATTGTTCTGTCTTTCTAAATGTGTAGATAGCTAGGTGCCTCTCTAGTCTCTCTTGGTTGTATACAAAGCCTTCAGACTTGCAGTGATGCGTAAGGTCTTATCAAGACCAACTATGGCTGGATCCGTCTGTTCAATGTCTGGCTAATCTTCCTATGTGTTACTTGTCCTACTCTGCGTCGCAACCTGTGGCTAGCTTCAAGCTGGACGACCATGTGTCTGCCAGGAGGTCGCTGTTGTTTCAAAAATACCCAGACATGTGGGCAGTTGATTGAGGGGGGAGGTGGAGAATGGGAGCTGCCCAAGGTAAAATGCCTCTGGTTCCCACTGTTCTGACCCAAGGCTTAGTAGTTTTTCTTAAATATAGTCGTGGGTCGCTTAACCACAGGGATATGTTCTGAGAAATGTGTCATGAGGTCATTGTGCAAACATCATGGAGTGCACTCACACAAGCCTAGGGGTCTAGCCTACTGCACCGAGCCTGTGTGGCACAGCCTATTGCTGCAGGCTGCAAGCCTGTGCAGCATGTCACTGTACTGAGTGCTGTAGGCAGTTGTAACACAATGGCGAGTACTTGTGTGTCTGCACACAGAAAAGGTGGAACAAAAATACACTATAAAGATTAAACAATGGCACACCTGTATAGGGCAACTCTATTATCATCTTACGAGGCCACCGTTGTACCTGCAGTCTGTCACTGACCAAAGCATCGCTATGTGACACATGACTATAATCACTTCTCAGCTTTTTGTTTGCCTTTAATCTATATCCAGAATCCTGATACGGTTGTTTTTGACAAATTTGTCCTATTGTGTTACCACTTTTTGGGGAGAGGATTTGCCAAGCTCCTCACTGCACCACTGACTTTGTAGAAGTCCCGTGTCTGGTGCTTGATTTCTAAAAATCATGGTAAAATACCTCACAAAAAAATTTCCATTTTTAAGTATACAGTTCAGTGGCATTAAGTACATTCACAATGCTGTGTGACTGTTTCCCTGTTTCTAGAACTTTTCGTCATCTTAAACAGAAACTCTGTACCCAGTAAGTAATAACTCCCATTTCTCTCCCCACAGCCACTCCCAGTCTCTGCTGTCTGTCTCCATGGACTTTCCTGCACTAGGTCCCTCCTGTGAGTGGCGTCATACAATTTCTGTCCATTTGTGTCTGGCTAATTCCAGTTATTGGTAGCAGGATGTCCTCAAGGTTCGTTCATGCTGTAGCATGGTCAGAACTTCAGTCCCTCCTATGGCTTCAGTCCTCATGTACAGCGCGGTTTGCTCACTCATCCTGTCGATGGGCACCGCGCCGTTTCCACCACGTGGCCGCTGTGAACATGGTGTGCAAGCAGCTATGTCGGTCCCTTTTTCAGTTCTTATGGGTCTGTGTCTAGGAGTGGACTTGCTAGATCACATGCTAATTCTATTTTTAACCTTTTTAGGAACTGCCAAACTTCTCTTCACACCAGCAGTGCACAAGAGTTCAGTTTTGCCAGCACTTGCTTTCTGTTTTTGTGTTTAGTTTTATAATAGCCATCCTAATGGGTCTGAAATGGTGTCTTTCTGTGGTTTTGATTTGCACTCCCTAATGATTAGTGACCTCGAGCCTCTTTTTATATGCTTATTGGTCATTTATATATCTTCTAGGGGAAATGTCTGCTGAGTCCTTTGTCCTTTTTTTGTGGGGGATTTGTTTTGTTGTTGGCTTTTAAGGCTTCTTTATATATTCTGGATATTAATCCCTTATCACATGTGATTTGCAAATATTTTCTCCAATTCTGTGGACTGCCTTTTCACTCTTTTGTTAGTGTTCTTTGATGTACAAAAGTTTTTAATTTTGATGAAGTCCAATTTATTTTTGCTTTTATTTTTTTAATTTTTAAAATTTTTTATTAGAGACAGGGTCTCACTTTGTTGCCTGGGCATGAGGACAGTGGCATGATCATAGCTCACAGCAACGGCAAACTCCTGGGCTTAGCCTCCTGAGTAGCGGGTATACAGGTGCGCACCACCACACCCGGCTAATTTTTGTACTTTTTGTAGAGACTGGGTCTCACTATGTTGCTCAGGGTGGTCTCAAACTGATCCTCCTGCCTTGGCCTCCCGAAGTACTAAGATTATAGGCATGAGCCCAGCCTGTTCTTGCTTTCGTTGCCTATGCTTTTGGTTTCATATCAAGAAATCATTATCAAATCCGATGTCATGAAGATTTTTCCCTCTGTTTTTAGCTGTTATGTTTAGGTCTTTGCCCCCACCCCACCCTTTTTTTTTTTTTTTTTAAGAGACGGGATCTTGCTATGTTGCCCAGGCTGGATTCAAACTCCTGGGCTCAAGTGATCCTCCTGCCTGAGCCTCCAAGTAGCTGGGCCTATAGATGCAAGCCAACACACCGAGCTGTTCTGATCCATTTTGAATACATTGTGTCAGCTAAAATACATTGTATAAGATAAAAGTCCAACTTCATTCTTCTGGTGTTTTATTTTAAGGCATATAGTTTATCATTTCAGTCCTTGAATGAAAGGAAATACTAGACCCTGACGGGTGTGGAGTATGGACTGTCTAGCTCCCAACCTGGTCTAGGGAGGGATTCGTTCCTGAACAGAGGGTGTTCATAATACCCAGGCGTCCTGCACGTTCCTTCCTGAAGGTTAACACCTGGCCCTACCATCCGATCCCAGCCGTGTGCATGAAGAGTTGCTGCTGCTCGGAAGAGGTGTAGGAATTCTCTCATCCTTGTGAGAAAGAAGCCACTTCTCTGTGGGCTGATCTCACAGTGGCAGATTCTGACTTTGCCAACCCCCCAGAGCAGAGGTGTAGGCGGCGTTAGGCTCGACCTCCCCTGTAACCCAGGCGTGGCCCATGGAATATAGTCTGTGGTTTTCTTTTTCAGTCACCTATGACTTTCTGGCTGTGGAAGACATAAACAGGGACAGGATCCGAGATGTTCTGTTTCTTTATAAAAATACCAATGGCATCAATAATTTCAACCAATCCTGCGCTGATGAAGGTAATTTTGACTTTATCTGAAAAAGGAGGACCTCCCTGTAGGAGGAGCAATCTTTGCTTTAGGTCATCCTCTCACTTTAGCAGTGCTTGGGGGAAGCAAACGGTGGCATTTCTGGAAACCATGACATCATTTCTCCTTTCTAGCAGGACTAGGAAGAGGCAGGGAACAGGCTCAGCTCTCAGCAACCCACTTGGCTACTGACCCCCGGGGTCGGCACTAGAGCCTTCACGGATCTGAAGGATGAGGGGCCCAGGGATAGAGGAAACCTGCCGTGTGGTGGGGCCTGTGGCGGGGGGTGAAGTGTGGGGAAGCCCCTGCCGGCAGAGCGCAGGCTGTGGCCAGCCCAACCGCCCCGCGTCTCTCTCCTGCAGGCTTGTCCTCCCCCTGCGCCTTTGTGGCAGCTGTGTCAGGGGCCAACGGCAGCATGCTCTGGGAGAGGCCTGTGGCCCCAGATGTGGCCCTCGTGAAGTGTGCTGTGTCCCAGCCAAGGGGCAGCGAGGTGTCATCTGCCTGCATCCTTGTAGGCAGACCCGATTCTGTGATTGCAGTCGACTTGTTCACAGGTAGGCAGCCAGGTAGAGGGGCTTGCACCTGAGCCTCCTCACCCGGGAGGGCGAAGGCCAGGATGCCCTGACAGGAGTCAGCCCTGAGATCTCAGGGTGGCTGGCTGGGTGGGAAGGAAGCTTACGGGGTGGGAAACCTCCAAGGAACGGGCAATTGCCTGGAGGTCTCATCATGCCTCAGCTCCCTTCATCTGCTCTGATGTCTCCTGCTGCTGTCTTGTCACCTCCGGTTTACATTTTGGTTGTGGATGTGCAGCAGAGTCGGTCAGAAACCTGTGGGGTAGAGACGCGGAGAGGAGGGCTGCCGGCTGTTCATGGGGTGCACACAGCAGCAGTGCCCAGAGCAAGCCCAGAGCCTGAACCCGAACTTCACCCCCCGGGAAGGTCTGGCTTCCTGGTGCTCTTCACCTTGAGGGCTTATGTCTCTGAGCCCTGACCTCACAGGTTGTGTTAAGCACCAAGGAAGGGAACACAGGGTGGAGCAGAAGTGGTTTGGTTGGACCGTCCCTTGCATCTTACCAAGGCCTGAAAGAATTCTCTGCCTAGATTTGGTGTATGTTAGCATTTCCCTCATAAGCTGTAGTTTGAAAGATATGGAGGAAAATAAAGAACAAGCTGGAAATATTTTAAGAATCGAGAAATCAGTCTGAAAAAAGGGGTTTGGTGAGTTCATGCCTGGGTAAGAAGCTGTAACAGGCCAGGTGCAGTGGCTCACGCCTGTAATCCCAGCACTTTGGGAGGCCGAGGCAGGAGGATTGCTTGAGACCAGGAGATCAAAACCAGCCTGGTCAATATAGTGAGACCCTGTCTCTACAAAAAAAAAAAAAAAAGCTGGGTGTGGCGGTAACAGCTGGGTGTGGCGGTACGCGCCTGCAGTCCCAGCTACTTGGGAGGTGAGACAGGAGGGATTGCTTGAGCCCAGGAGTACGACGTTACGGTTAGCTGTGATCGTACCACTGCACTCCAGACTGGAGAACAGAGTGGGACCCTGTCTCAAAAAAAAAAAAAAAAGTGTTACATCAGGACCTGTGGTCAGTAGGTCCACCTCTGAGCATGCACCTTCACTGGCTGCCTTCTGCGTGCAGGGCGAAGAGAGGGGCCACTCAGCTGTGGCCTGCATGGGTGCAGAGGTACAGGGTACAGGAGGAGGCAGGGTTCTGAGGGGTCTAGAGAGGTGGTTGAGGTCTGGTCCTGTCCACCTGGGGGGAGGGTCAGCATCGACCCTGGATGTTCTGCAATGGTGCTTGTTTAGTGCCAAGTGTTAGAAACACAGATACTGGAAAAGGAGGGAGAGCTCTGCAGTTCCCACAAATACCACTTTGAACATGTTGGCATGTGACCATCCAGACTTTTTCACAAGGCCACGTTGCATATTCTGTGAACACCACAACGTACCTGCCATTCCTTTACAAGGACGGCCACACATGCCTCTGCCCGCCCATGGGCAAGTGATTCCGTTTTGAGTGTGCGGCGAGCCTCGGGTTGCGGGGGACGGGTGCCTCAACGTGCATCTGCCAGCAGAGGCTGTGCTGTTGCCAGATCGCCGTGAGGGGGGATTTGGAGTCATGTTCGCTGAGAGTGTGCTTGGTTTTAGGGGAAACCCTGTGGACCCGTCCTGGCAGCCCCGGCGGGAACGCTTCCATCCTGAGCCCTTTGCTCCAGGTGCCTGACGTGGATGGCGACGGGGCCCCAGACCTGCTGATTCTCGCCCGGGAGGAGGAGGAGGTACAGACCAGCAGCGCCAGCCTCCCGTCCTCGAGGCCCACATACGCCAGAGCCTCTGCCCTGCCTCCTTGTCACTTCCACTGCCCAGACTGGACTCGGGTCTGACCACTTGCTGGAGGTCCGCCCAGGTCCCATTCCTGACGCCCGGGATGCTGAGGGCTGCTTAGCAGTTGCAGCCTGTGGGCCTTCTCAGAAGTGGCAGAGCGTGCGTGTGCCATTCGTGCTGTCGCGGTGTTGGGACCTGGAGCCTCTGTGGGGCCAGACGCTCGCCACACACTCTGGTGTCAGAGCACTCTTTCCTCCACACCAAGAGAACATTGACCACCTTATCCTTTGGCACCATTTAAAAATGCCCCTCCCTCTTGAATGTCTGGTCTGTCTCATCCCCCACCGCCCTGCCATTGCAGGTTAACGGTTACATCTACTCAGGCAGCACCGGGCACCAGATCGGGCACAGAGGCAGCCTTGGCATAGACGGAGAGAGCGGCTTCCTCCTCCACGTCACCAGGACGGGCGCCCACTACATCCTCCTCCCCTGCGGTACGTTGTGCCTGCCGTATTCCCAGGACTGGCTTCGCTCTCAGAGGTGGTGCTGGTCTTAAAACGATTAGTTCAGCACCCTTGGGGAGCACAGCATGTGAGGGATTGTGACGTCCCTGGAGGCTGGTCCCCTCCTGCTCTCTTTCTGACGTGCTGCTCGATCCCTCATGGGTCAGACAGCCTGAGGGCCTGGCGCCACGCATTCCTGGAAGTGGGGCTGGTGGATGACCCTGGTGACTTCAGCCTCTTCTGTGTTTTGAATAGCAAGCTCCCTCTGTGGCTGCTCTGTGAAAGGTCTCTATGAGAAGGTGACCGGGCAAGACGGCCCATTTAAGAAGGACCCCCTGTGGGAGAACATGCTCAATGCCACCACCTGCAGGATGCTCGTGCACAGGTGGGTCTGGGCGGCGGCTTTCTACTCGCAGGCCTCATGTGCAGAGGGTCTGTGTGGGGCTCATAGCAGCCAAGTGGGCTGGGCGTGCCAGGGCCTTGCTGTTGGTACTGCGAGGCCACCCTGGGCTCAGATACCAGAAACTGGCAGGTAGAAGCTGAGTGAAATCCTAGAAGAAAGGTTCTCAATGGCGCACTCGTCTTCCTTTGCACAGGAAGTGAGGGTTTTACGTTTTCAAGCTGGAGAACTAAGAAATACGGGGCTTTGGGGCCTGAGAGAAGCAGCCCTGGGACAGGCAGTGCTGGGGGTCCTGCCTTCCCACTTGCCCCCGGGGACCCTGTGCCCTTCCTCCCGCCTCCTGTTTAGCGCCGGAGCAGTGCGCTACCTGGTGCGCGTCCCGGGGAAAGCTAGCGCGGATGTGCTCCTTGTGGGCGCGGAGGCCTGTGTGCTGCTGGATGGGCAGGAGCTGACTCCCCGCTGGACGCTCGGCACAGCCCAGGTCCTGAGGTAGGGGTCTTCCTCGGGAGCCTGCACTTGCTGCACACCCCACCCCCGCAGGCCGGCGTGTCCCAAGGGACCAGGGGGCAGCCCCAGGGATAAGGGCTGGGGGGGGTGGACTAGAGGGCCCACGTGCTGCTGCCAGGCCCCGCACCTGCCCTCCCTGCTACCTGCACCAGTGGAGGGGCCCGTGCAGCTCCCACCTCAGCCATCAGCCCTCATCCTGGAGCCTGCTGTGGGCTGCCCTGGGCCTGCCCAGGTGTGGCCACAGAAGGCTGAGGGGCACACCCATCCCCAGGTAGTTCTACATCTCAGTCTCGACAGAGGGCTGAGCTCTTCTTCCCTAATTCTTCCAGAAAACCCATTTTCGGCCACTACGAACCAGACACCTTGGCTGTGGTCATTGAGAATGGAACCGGCATTGACAGACAGGTTGGCTGCACTTCCTTCTGAGGTCCCACCTTTGTCGCTAGCTGGGGATGGCCTGGTCTGAGAGCCGGGCTGTGGCCCAGGGGACTGGGTATGCTCTGGCTCCTCAGAGAGCAGCTGCCTTTAGGGCCTACGTGGGCGGACGCGCATGGTGTCCGTGTAGCCTGAGGTTGCCCCACGGTGTCTGCTCCCTCCCCAGATCCTGCTCCTGGACCTCAGCACCAGGGCCATCCTGTGGAGCCATGCCCTCCCCAGCCTGCCCGGCAGCCCTCCCTCCTCCAGTCTGCCAACCGCAGACCACCGCTCAGCTTTCTTCTTCTGGGGCCTCCATGAGCTGGGCAGTGCCAACCAGACGGTACGGGACACCTTGGAGCAGCCCATGCCAGGAGCCAGGGCCTGGGTCCCACTGGAAGTGCCCAGGAGCTAATCAGTGACTGGGTGGCAACAGATAAATTGAAGTCAAGTGAGATCCATCACGATGGGGTGGTGACGAAGGAAGTGTCCGGGATGTCCCAAGGGTGGACTCAGCAGCCCTCTGGTGGGGATGGGAGGGCAGTGCCCTGGTAGGGTCAGGGTCGGGTTGGGGGAGGGAGGGGTGGAGGTCGGTGCAGAGCTCCGAGCACAGCCACTGCGGCCACAGCACCCTGTGGCAGTGACCTGAGGCTGCCCAGACCCACCTGTGGCCCAGGCACAGTGAGAGCCGCTGTTGGCTCTCGCTGCAGGAGACCAGAGCTGCCTGGCACAGCCTGTACATGTTCCACCCCACCCTGCCTGGCTTGCTGCTGGAGCTGGCCAACGTGTCTGCCAACATCGTCACTTCCGATGGTGAGCGTGGCCTTGAGTGGGGGCTGGGGTCTCCCCACCATTAGGGCCTTTGGTGGCCCTAACAGCCATGTGCCCCACAGTGGTCCTGTTTGAGCCAAGCCGCCACGCTGCCTACGTGCTCCTGACAGGCCCGGCGAGCTCAGACATGCCTGGCCTGGTCTCCGTGATCAAGCACAAGGTGCGGGACCTTGTCCCGAGCAGCAGGGTGGTCCGCCTGGGGGAGGCCGGGCCGGACAGTGACCAGGCCATCAGGGACCGGTTCTCCCGGCTACGCTACCGGAGCGAGGTGTGAGGTGCATGCCGGCCGCACCCTGCAGGGCGACTCCAGCTGCTGAAGTTAGACGTCGGCCTTCCCTGGTCTCCGTACTTGACTGCCCCACCCAGGCCCTGGCGGTGGTCTCCCCAGGATGTGTGGGTGAGGGACGCCCAGGCCTCCCCTGCTGCCCAACACGCCATGTCCTTCTGAGTCCTCACATGGGGCTCGCGCTGCACCCCACCGGGGTCCTTCTCGTGGCCAGGCTGCCTTTGTGGTGGCCTCCCCGGGCCAGCTCAAGCAGGGCGTGGCCCCACGGCACCCCATCCTCACATGGCACCCTTCGCCCGCCAGCTTCTCCCCAGGCAGAAAGGCCGAGATCATTGGAAGGGCCCAGGGTGTCCCTGAGAATGTGCTGCCCACACTTCCTGCAGAAGTCCCTTCCCGCCTTCCTGTTTGATTCTCTCTGTGCTCTGTCCCCCAGAGTCATGGAGCTCAGAGGGTAGGGGCCCTGGGGGTGGCCTCAGGACAGCAGCTGGGACCTGAGGCAGCTCTAGCCCCCAGCCCTTCCCAGAGCGAGGAGGGAACCCTCCAGCATGGTGGGTGACTTGGGCCCTTCGACTCGGCCCGCGGGCTCCTGACAGGTGGGGTAGTGCACTGGAGTGGGGCGCCAGCAGCTGCTCGCAGGTGCCCTTGGGGGCTTCACGCCCCTCATGCTGCTGTGTGTGCTGTGACTGTCCCAGGGAACTGGCTGTAAAATGCACGTGTAGGTCAGTGCACACTGGAGCTGCTTGTCCCTTGAGGGCCCCTGTGCCCTGGGCGTGGGAAGCACCTGGTGCCTCCTGCCTCCCACTCGGTGCTCTCACTCCCACCAGTCTGTCGCCTGGTCCAGGACTCACCTCTGTGCCTTGTTGCCCCGAGGCCAAGGGCAGCTGTGGGCCCTGCCCAGACACCAGAGCCCAAGCTTTGTAGCCAAAGCAGCCTGATGACTCCAGTCACCATGGAAGAAACCAGAATAAACGTTTTTGCACTGTCTGAAAAAGCCCAGTGGTCAGCTGTGAGCTGGTGTCTGTCTGCCCGTCTCTCCGCTCCCAAAGGAGTGGGATGGATTTGTTCCTGGCACGGTGGCCAGCAGTGTGCTGCCACTCCTGGTCAGGGTGGGAAGGCTGGCTGAGAGGTGAGCACCGCACACGCAGACCTGCCCCCTAGAAGCGTCAGCACAGCCTCCAGGGGCATCTGTGGTTTGAGGACTCCTGCCCTCCAAGCCACGCACCCAGCCCAGTGGAAGCGACAGCGGTGGCCTCGGCACCCCTGCGTCCTCTGGGCCGGCCAAGGGCCCGCAGGAAGCAAGGGTGGGGGTGAGCTCTGGCAGCCACCAGGGGAGGAGCCTGGCAGGGGGCTTCCATGAGACGCAGCTCTGGGCGTGGAAACGAAGAGGGCAGTTGCTTTAGAGGACCCTGCGGGAGTTTCCTGTTGCATAGCTGCACAGGTGTGACTTTGTTCCTGTTTCTCCTTGCCAAGGCTTGGGAGGGTTTGAACAGGTGGGAGCCCTCGGGCCAAGAAGTGGGTCCCTTGTCCCTGAGAAAAGTCACCCAGCCCACCCAGCCTTGAGCATGGAGGAGCCACAGGGCTACGGGCCAAGTCCCCTGAGTGAAAACCAAGACGCTGGAAGGAGAGGGGAAGGTCTGCCCCTGGGGTGCTGAGAGTCTGCACCCCCTGCAGGGGAGGGGTCCTGGAGGTCCGGGGGGCTCTGTGTGTCTGGAGGACTTGGGGCAGGTTGGGCACAACTGCCGATTCGGTGCCAGGAGCCCCTCCTCCCCACAGGCTCCCTGGAGTCGGTTTCCTCACTCTTTCCCCTGGAGGGCAGACTCCCTCACGCTACCTGGTGCGCCTCCACCCACCAGAGTGCAGGCGGACCCCCAGCTATCTCCTCCTAAAGAGGAGAAGATTCCCAAATTTAGCCTGAGAAGGCTGGTCCCTCCTCCATTGACCCCACATGCCTGGGACCCTCCACGGATGCTGCTGTTTAACCTGAGCCCTAGTGACCTTCCCCACCTCCCTCACCACATACATGCCACAAGCACGCACACCACACACGCACATGCCTCACATTCATATGCCACAGTGTACACCTCACATGTGCATAGTACATACATGCATGCTTCTTAACACGTATGAATGCCTCACGTGCAAACTACACACGCACGTATGTCCACAACAGGAGACATGCACACATCCTATGTACATGTGCTTACACACACATGCCTCACGTGCGCACACTAAACGTGCATGCATTCTATGCAGACATGCATATGCATTCCTCACACAGACACTACACACGTGCACACCTCACATGCATACCCTACACGTGCACACACTACATAATGCATGCCTCACACACCACATGCAAGCTACATACGCACACGTCGTGCACACGCACACGCATCCTATGTGCACTCACCATGAGCTGCACCGACAGCAGGATGGGCTCAAAGTGAGGACCCAGGGGTCTTTTATTTTTGTGCTGGAAGAGGGTGGGAGCTTGACGCGTGGGCAAGCCCTGTGGTTAGGGCTGGCACCCCCCCCCAGCTGAGCCAGTCAGAGCTGCACCCCCAAAGGAGCTAGCCTGTACCTTCACGCAGCCTGGGGGGCAGTAGGCCACTTGGGGGAGGGGAGTAACGTGGTGCACGGAGAGAGGCTTGGCAGGGAGGACACCTGCCCAGATCTGCCCTGACAGAAAGAGGGGCCTCCTTGTCAGTGGAGTGATGATGTCAGAATCATCTGCACAAAGCTGGTGCAGCAGCCACAGGTTCAAGGTGGAAAACCAAGTTCTGGAACGTGTGTGGTGCCAGTCCAGGCGAGGGTGGTGCGGGTGCAGCTCTGGAAGGTGGTGAGCATGACGCAGGCTCAGCATGGCCTCCGTGGAGCTGAGGGAGCTCTCTAGGGTCCTCAGTTGGTCCTCACGGCAGAGCTGCTCCTGGACGGGGCAGAGTCTGCCCTGAGACCTGCATTTCCTCATCACGTGGCAAGTGCCACCTGTCTGTGCATCTTGCTTCCAGGTATTCACCGGCTGACGTGACCCAGGGGGGAACTGAAGACCACAGCATGCCAGGAACTCCGTGTGGCCCTGGTCTCACCTTTCTTCAGGTAACGGGGCCTGCCCCGCCCCACGCGTGGCCAGTGCAACCCCCTCGCTGGGAATCAGCACGGGACCAGTCCCCCTGGCAGAGAGGACTTGCCCAGAGGAAAAGGAGAAGGAAGCTAGAGAGAGGCCTGTGTGCCCCACAGTGAGGCTGGCACCGGGGACATCCGTGCTGGGGAGGCAGCAGCTGCCAGGACCCTGGGCCAGGGGGAGGGTGACCGTGCAGTCAGCAGGGTGTTGGGCAGGAGGGCCTGGGAGGTAGGAGGTGAGGACGACAGGGGCCAGGTCCACCTAGGCCACGCTGTCACCACCGTCAGGGCCGCCAGCCACCATGGGCTCCCCAGAGGGAGGAAGGAGAGCAGGGCTGGGGCTTGCGTGCCACGGCTTCCGTGGGAACGGGAACACCCTGTGGGCAAGAAGGGGGCTGATGGCAGGTGGCCGGCGGAGTCCTGCCCACCTCACACAGGCCTCGGCCGTTTCTGGGGAGCGGCAGCCGGGAACGGGGCACTGCTTGGGCTCACCGTCTCTTCGTCTCCAGCGGGATCCCTGCCTCCGCCAGCAGGCCCTTGTACAAGTCAGACTTCAGGAACCTAGGGTAGGAGTCCTGCAAGGGACGGCGTCCGGCTCTGACCCAGCCACCCCCTCTCCCCAGCAAGGTGCAGCCTCTAACCCAGTCCCAGCGCACGGTGCTGGGGGCACCCAGACCTGCGGGACCATCGGACTCGGGGACACCTGGGCTCCCGTCCCCTGGGCCATTCACTGCAGAAGCTGGGCGGGGGCCCTCGTGCCCAAGCACGAGTAGATGGCGGCACCTCCAGTGCGGGACCCTGAGCAGCCGCACGGGAGGTGCCTGCAGAGCGAGGGCAGGGCATGGAGGAAACAAAGTGGGGCAGAGGGGACTGCACAGGGGTAAATAAAAAGGAAAGGGATCTGACTATACTTGCTTATACTTTTAAAGAAAAATACGTTTTAAATTGTTCACTTTGGTGGGAAGGAGGGGAGAAGGGGAGGGGGCAGGGATATGAGCCAGATTCTCTTAAACAGACCTTGCTCTGTGTAGAACTGATTTTGGAACTGAATAGATATTTTATATAATTATAAAATACAAAAGCAATTCCCAAACACTGAAAGTGAAGTGGGACAAGTGACACCAGCCACGTACCCAGTCGGTGTCGTAACCCTAAGCACACGCAGCAGAGCCGCTCAAGGTGACGTCCTAAACAGGGAACATACATAGGCCCGAAAAGAGAAGACAACCATTTTCAGTGGCCACAGTGCAGATGGTAGCGTGTTGTTGGGCTGAGAGTGACGTGTGAGGAAAGCACACGCGTGATCGTATCAGCAGTGCTGACACGATCTGCAACATGCGAGCAAGGACCAGAGAGTTTAAGGAAAACCTGGGATCCTGAGTGAAGTGTTAGCAAGAGCTCCTGGTTTTTGTTTAAGACACGTGTTTCCTAATTCTGTACCAGGGAGCAAGGAACACAGGAACACAGGCTGTGGTTTCTAAACGCCACCCTTGGAAAGGGCCAGGACTGCCGTGGAAACGGCCGACTCCAGGGGTGGGCAGGACAAGCCGGGGACGAGTGAGAGAAGGGGAGCCGCCGCGGTGGCCGGGGAGACACATTGGATGACTGGGAGCCACACGGCCACTGTGGGGCCGTGTGCTCACCACCTAAGCATGACTGAATGTGGGATTGAAACACATCAGATATGGTGACATCTGTGATTTTCTGATGGTATTAAAAAGATCCAAACCTCACCACCCTCGGCAGATACTAAGGTCCAGCTCATTTTTTAATAGATTTTTTTCGTTTTTAGAGAAGAGGGTCTTGTTATATTGCCCAGGCTGGACTCAAACTCCTGGGCTCAAGTGATCTTTCTGCCTCAGCCTCCCAGAGTGCTGGGGTTACAGGCTTGAGCCTCCGCGCCTGACTCCAATTCATTATTTTTAAAGGTGGTAAATAAAGGAAGGTGTCGAGCACCTGCCTTTCTCCCGCAGTCGGCACCACTGGACACCCAGAGAGAGGGGAGGGAGGCGGCTCAGAAGCATCCGCTGATAAAGAGGCAGGGACGGAGCTAGAACAGGACCGCGCCGCAGTCCCTAACACAGGCAGGGCAGTGGCTGCACCAGAAAGAGAGGCAACGGCACCTCGTGTACCCTGACAGAAGACACCAAACACCACCCCAACAAAACCAGGCAAACAAGCAACAAACCCTGGAGATGAATCTGACCGAGCCTTGAATGTAACTGCTCCCTTACAGAAAGACAGGGCAGAGAAACAGGTCAACGAGGCCACAGGGATGTGGTCAGCAAGAGCCAGGCTGTGAGAAACAGGCTGGACAAAGGATCCCGCGCCTCCAAAGAAGAAGGGGGAGATGACGTGGAGAAAAACCTATACTTCAAAAAGAGATTCAAGGCCGGGCGCGGTGGCTCACGCCTGTAATCCTAGCTCTCTGGGAGGCCGAGGCGGGCGGATTGTTTGAGCTCAGGAGTTCGAGACCAGCCTGAGCAAGAGCGAGACCCCGTCTCTACTAAAAATAGAAAGAAATTAATCGGCCAACTAAAAATACATAGAAAAAATTAGCCGGGCATGGTGGTGCATGCCTGTAGTCCCAGCTCCTCGGGAGGCTGAGGCAGAAGGATCACTTGAGCCCAGGAGTTTGAGGTTGCTGTGAGCTAGGTTGACGCCACGCCCTCACTCTAGCCCGGGCAACACAGTGAGACTCTTTCAAAAAAAAAAAAAAAAAAAAGAGATTCAGGAGACTTATTGACCAATTCTAACAAAATCAGGATTCAAATTCAAGCAAATTAAAAAAAGAGAAAGAAATAATTATAGGCTGCAGTATACGGAATAATCCCCCTGCGCCCCAGGGATGTCCACGCCTAATCCTTCAACCTGAGAGTAAGTCCCCGTGCGCGTAAAGTGCTTTTACAGCTGTGATTATATTTAGGGTCTCAAGACGGGAGATGATCCTGGATTATCCGGTGGGCGCAGCAGGATCACGGCTGCCTTTGTGAGTGAAAGGGGGCGGCTGGAGGGTCAGAGAGGGGTGGGACGATGCTGCCTTGCTGGCTCTGAAGAGAGGACAGGGCCAAGAGCCAGGCTGGCAAAGGCAGGAAGTGGTTTCCCTGCAGACACTTGACCTCAGCCCAGGGAGACCGTGTCAGACTTCTGACCTCCGGAGCTGTAAGAACATGACTCTTGCTTCGTGGTGGTTTCTTACAGCAGTCACAGGAAACCAACACATAGGCCGAGGGAGGAGGTGAGAACGCTGATTAGGTATTCGGGGGCATTAAGTAAGTGCTGTTTGTTTACAGTGTCATGTTGGCATCTACAGTAAGGTTTGAAAACGGGAGGTGTCCATATGCTATAGAGAAAGATATATATGTATGCTGAAGTATCTCTAGGTAGGAAGTCTGGAAGTGGCTTTCAGGTAACAAGGGGAGGGTGGTAGGAGGTGGGTAGACCTGTCAGGACAGGCCCTGAGTTGAAGGTAGGCCATGGGTACACAGGGATTCATTTTAATTCATTTCTGTTCATACTTGAAAATTTCTATATTAAAATGCTTTTCCAAGTCGAAACCAGACCCTTACTAAGCATGGGACCTGGGCAGGTCCTTCAGCCCCTCCGCCCCTGTCTGCTGTCTGTGGACGGAGCGAGCTACAGGACGAAACCACCTCAGAGAACAGCCGGCACAGTGCAGCCAAGGCCCCGGGACCCCCAGGCCAGCGGGCCCCAGGGAAGGCGCTCCCACGGGCAGGGGCAGCGTGGTCAGTGAGTACAGATGGCGAGGCCCAGCTGGGGCACCCCCACCCCACACCCTCCAGGCTGGCCCAGGGCCCACCTTCTTCATGAGCATGTATATGTGCAGCTGGGCGTCATCCAGGACGTAGCGGTGGGGCTGGCGCAGCCCTTCCAGGGTCCGCTCCATCGTCCGGCTGTCAATGTTGACCCAGTGGGCAGCGCCAGGAGCCAGGAACTGCCTGGGCGTGGGACAGTGTCAGGTCATCCAGGCGGGTATGTCTGCCCAGCAGCCGGCCAGCACCCGGCCCGCGGCACTCACTGGTACACGGCGTCCACCAGGGCAGGGACTTGGGCCTGCCCTCCGTAGCGAAGCTCCTCACACGCCTCCCAGAAGCTGAGGTTTTCAGCTGGGGGCCCGGGAACCCGGTCAGGAGCCAGCAGGGGACTCCTGAGGGGCGGGCAGAAACGTGGGGGACAGGGTCCCAGGCAGCAGCCTCCCTCACGGGGTCCAGAGCAGGTAGTGGGGGGGGCTTCTCACCACTGAACTCCTTCCTGAGAAAGTCCATGAAATGGGCCCGCCCCACGGGGTCTTCCAGCAGCTCCTGAAAGCTGAAGGCCCAGCGCTCCACGCGGAGCTTTGTAGGTGCCGCCGCCCTGGGGGAAGAGGGTGTTGGGTGGCTGGGCTGACCCTGCGCCAGCCCAGGATGGGAGCACACAGGCCCCTGCCCGCCCCGCCCAGGGCTCACGTGGGCGAGTTCACAGCCCAGTAGGCGGCGCTGTCTGTGATCCAGGGGTTGCCGGGCAGGCAGCCCGACAGCATGGGGTCGTGCAGCCTGTGTTGGACGCTGAACTGCAGGTACCTGGAGAGGACAGTGCCGGGGGCTGGGCAGGACGGGGCCTCAGGGACAGGGCGCGCAAGAAAGGGTCTGGGCTCTGGGCTGGGGGTCTCCAGCTGCCCCCCCGACTCACGCCTCAAGGCAGACAGAAGACTTCACCCGGGCCCTGCCCAGGGCCTTCCTGCAGCACTCAATCTAGGACAAGAGACTCGTGAGCCTAGTCCTGAGCTGGGGGCGGGAGGCCAAACCCCCACCCACCCCGGACCTACCTCCTGCTTATAGAAATCCGAGCTCTTGGTCTAGAAGGGGACAGGTGACTGCAGTTAGATCGCAGGCCCACGACCGAGACCCTGCCCCAGCAGGATATTACAGAGAACAGCTCAGGCCCAGCCCTGTCCCTCAGAGCCCCCTCCTCCAATGGGGAGTTTGACTTTCCAGGAGACCTCTGGGGGCCTGTAGTCCAGAGATTTCCGGAACATTCCACAGAACCCTCAGCTTCTCACAGTTGCCTTGAAGTCCCCCAACTGTGATTAATATGTCATATTTTCAAATGCATTTAAATCATTTTTTTAAACAACATATACATGAAAAGCACTCCTAATGGGCTGACACTGGGGAACTCGGGTTTAACTCAAACTCAGGAGCCGTGACCCTGAGGCCGCTGACCCATGTTCCCCACATGGGTCTGGAGCCAGAAGCAGGGGACCCGCCACGTGATCAGGACATGTTTGAGTCCCAACATTTGCCCCAGCTCTCTTCGACCAACACTGTGGTTTTTTTTTTTTTTTTTTTTTTGAGACAGAGTCTCACTGTGTTGCCCGGGCTAGAGTGCCGTGGCGTCAGCCTAGCTCACAGCAACCTCAAACTCCTGGGCTCAAGCGATCCTCCTGCCTCAGCCTCCCGAGTAGCTGGGACTACAGGCATGCGCCACCATGCCCGGCTAATTTTTTCTATATATTTTTAGTTGTCCCATTCATTTCTTTCTATTTTTAGTAGAGACGGGGTCTCGCTCTTGCTCAGGCTGGTCTCGGACTCCTGAACTCAGAACAATCCGCCCGCCTCGGCCTCCCAGAGAGCTAGGATTACAGGCGTGAGCCACCGCGCCCGGCCCTGTGTGGGGTTTTGAACCCAGGAAGAAGTTCATCTGTTCTCCGTTGTGGGTTTGGTGGTTCGTTTTGAACAAAAGGCTTTGCTGCTACGACTTGGGGATATGTCTGTCCTGGTCTGGTTCCCTCTAGTTCTGGAGGCCACCAGAGGCCCAGGAGGCAGGAGGCTGGCTCAGCCCAGGTCCCTCAGGCCTGTAACCCTGCTGGTCACCCCTCCAAGTCCCTGTGAGCCCTGATATTGTCCCAGCCTGGGGGAAGAGCCCCCTCCCTGCCCCAGGACCACTGCACTTACGTGTACCATGGCAGCAGGTGGCAGGGAAGAGAAGGTGAGTTAGCAGGCCACTGGGGGTGGGGAGGGCAAGGGCAGAGTGACCAGGAGCAGCTGTACCATGTGTCACTTGGGTGGTCTGGAGGACGCAGGGACGGGCAGCCCCAGCCCCCGAGCAGTCCCACGGTGCAGTGGGGTGGGCACGCGAGCGGGGCTCACCATCTGCACTGGGCTGGCGGCGCAGCAGCTGAGCTCTGGACCCTGCTCCAGCACATTGGGGGACCCGGGCTGCAGAGGGGAGATGAGGTGAGGTGGGGGCACAGCTCTGGTGGCCTTCTGAGACCCCACCCTAGGGCTGAGTTCTACCTCCACAGACCCCCGGAAGCTGAAGCACTTCACCCTGTAATGTGGACACGCTCAAGGGAGCGCAGGAGCCCCGACCCGGCCCCAAGCCCCGGCTCCTCTCTGCTCGTGCCCCCGCTGCGTGGCCTATCCACCTGGTCTCCCCACTGCCCCCGATGGTAGTGGGACCTCAAACCACCTGCCAGGACCGCAGTTCTGGGTAAGGCCTGATACCAAGCGAGCACCCCAGAAACTCCTGGGCTGTGACCTCAGTCCCTCATGCTGTAGCTGAGGCCAGCCCCACACTCTGCCTTCTCCTGAGGGTCTTCAGTCCCCCTCAGACTGAGAGAGCAGCTGGTTTGTCCTGTGGTCTTGGGGTGGGGCAGCCTCAGACCTGACCTGCAGATCTCTGGGCGAACCAGGACCTGGAAGGCGTGTCCTTCACAGGCTCAAAACGGAGGCCCTGCGGGAGCTTTCCAGGGAAGCATGACACCCCCACTCCCCATCAAGGGCTTACCGGGGGCCTGTTCACCAGCCAGAAAGTCTGCTCCTGGCATGCAATGACCAGCCTGTCCCCCTTCCTGCGCTGCTTAGCTGCCCTGGGAGGAGTAGGCAGAGTTGGGAAAACACTGAGCCACTGCAGTGCCTCCCCCGACCCTCAGCCCCAGGCCTGAGTGGGCAACCACTCCTAGGCAGTGCCAGACAGGTCCCACAGCTTCCGGAACAGGTCGGGTTAGTGTCGCGGGCAGGCGGCAAGGTCTCACCGCAGTTGCTCTCTGGCCTGCATCAGCACCAGGTCCCACGCGTGGTTGATCCTCTTGTGCAGCTGGTCATAGCGCTCCTGGGGGCAGCAGGGTCTCGGTGGGTAACCCCCTCCTGTGCCCAGCTCCAGGGCTTGGAACCCACTACTCCAGGGAGACTGTGCAGGGAGTAGGGGTGTGTGCAGGGGGTGATCTCGGGGCCTGGGCTATATGTTCTGGGGCAAACGCGGGGCCAAGGACTCTTCCAGCTGGATGAAGCCTGGTGCAGGGTCCCACCTTCTCATGGTCGAGCAGGGACCCCTGCTTCCGCATGTTCTTCTTGGCCAGGTAGATGGCTGGAAAGACGGTGCGGGCTGCAGAGGGCAGCCCTGCTCCTACCCCGCAGCATCATCCTTGGGTCCACCATCCTGGGAGCTTGTCCTCAGGCTAGCCCGCCCCCTCCTCACTCACCATAGTCCAGCTCGGCGGCTGGCCACAGGGTGCTTGTCCAGAAGTACGGTGTCTGGTGGGGTGCAGGGAGAAGGGTGTCTGGGACCACCCCAGGTGACATATCCCCTCACAGCTCCCTCGGAAGGGGACTGGGCTTTGCAGAGGGTCTCTGAGGACCTCCCTGTCTGCCCACCACCCAGAGGCCCTGCTGAACTTTGGCCATTCGGCCCCTTTGGAACTGAGCTCAGCTCTCCCCTTGGAGCTCTGGGCAGCGGCAGCCTCCTGACAGTGGTTGCCTGAGCCCTCCCTTCAGGGTGGGGTGGGGCAGTCACAGTCTGTGCTTGGGGTGGGGAGACCACTGGTGGCAGGCTGGGCCTGGGTCCCTGATGTGGTTGGGGAGGAGGGAAGGGTCTCCATCACGTCTGAGGACATGAAGTGCAGGGCTCCTGTCCTCATGCCCCCCATAGCCTCCTTCTTCAGGGGTGAGGGTCTAGGACCCTCAGGAAGCCAGCAGAATCTTCTGTAGTTATTACCTCTAATGGGGTCCCTGCTGTGGCACCAGGAAAACTGACACTCTGTCCCTTAACCTAGTCCTTCTCACCACACGGATACTTCCAGTCCAGGCCTTTTGGGGAGGGGGCAGTAGACCACCAGCCCACGATGCCATCGCCACATCCCACTCCAATCCCAGCAAGCTCCACGCCCCTCCCTAGAGTCTCCACTAGTTGGCCTTCTGGGTAGGTAGCTGGGGTCCCACCTGCTCCCCGCCCAGCCTGACCTGGAACCTGTAGGGCGTCTCGTCCTGCCGGAGCACCAGGATGCCAGGGTCCCGCAGTGGGTATATGTAGCCATGCTGCACCAGAAGAGTGCCCAGGTGCAGGGCCTCTGGGAGAGTGGGGTGGTGTCAGCTGGGGGACCCGGGCCTGAGTTCCCCCAACCCCAGCACACCCTGCAGGGCCTGACGCCCGTGACCCCCAGAAGACCCAGCCCTGTGCCACCAGCCAGCGACCCCAGCCTGGTTCTGGAGCGGAAGGCGGCCCGCCGGCTGACCCCTCACCCTCCTGCGAGATGCAGAACTTCTGGATCAGCCACTCCACGACGTCGCCGCCTGCGCAGGAGATTGCGGTGGAGGAGGCCGAGGCGCGCACTGCCCCCGCCCGGTCCGCGCCCGGCCCGCAGCGCCTCGCCTCACCGGTCACCGCGTGGGGGACGACGGTGATGAGCAGGCGCTGGCTCCGCATCCTGACGCCCTGGTCGGGGTCCTGCATGCTCAGGACCACCCGCTCCATCTGGGCGGAGGGGCCGTGAGGGGCTTCTCCGGCCGCCCCCAGGTCCCAGGTCCCGATTCCCAAGCCGGCCCGATGCCCGGGTCAGAGCGCTCAGGCCGGATTAGCGCGGGGCGGCAGCTGGCGACAGCTGGCGGGAGAGGCCCGGCGGGGGCGCAGGGCTGGGGGACGCGCCGGCCCGCCGAGCGCAGCCCCCAGGCCGCGGGCACCGCGCGCTCCCGCACCGGCCACCCGCCCGCTCTCTCCCGCCCTCCCGGCCCGGGCGGTGCGGGGACAGCGCGCCCCCCGCGCCCCCCACCTTGCTCAGATGCAGCCTCTGCGCGCGGGCGCGCCCGCCGGAGGGTGCGGGGCCGGCGGCCATGGCTTCGGGCGAGGCCGGCGGTGTCCGAGGCTGCCCCGCCCCTGTCCCGCGGGGCTCCCACCCCGCCCGGCCCTGCGCCCGAGGTGGCCCGAGTTAACCCTGCGCGCCCCGGCACCCGCGAGTCCCGGGCCGCCCGGTCCCACTGCGGGTCTGAGACAGCCACGGGGTTGGCGCCGGGACAAGGATCTCCCCCAGAAACAGGCTCTCGCGGGCGGGGGCGTGCCAGGGCCGCGTGCCGCGGAGGGGGCGTAGGGGCGATGTGGGACCCCGAAATGTCTGGCCTGGGCGGGGCTTGGACCCCCATGGAAAGGGGGGATGTGAGGAGTTGGAGGGGATCCGGGCTCAGCTGGGACAGGGAGAAGGTGGGGGAGGGGCTCACACGGCTCATTGAGGGCTGAGGACTCAGCGAGAGGAGGGGGGTTCAGACGGGGTCGGGGCCTCAATGAAGGAGGATCCAGGAGAAGGGATTGTGGGGAAGCGAGAGCAGCAGGGCTTTGGGGGCCACTGCAACACCGTCCCATGTGTGGGGCCTGGCTGTGGGGTCAAGGAGAAGGTGTGACTGCGGCGAGAGCGTGTGTCTGCGCCGGCCTGGCACGGTGCACCGCCGTGGGTGCCGGGTTCGTGTGCCAGGCCCGTCTGCTGGGGTTCACACATCAGCTGGAGGCTGTACGTGTGTGGCTTGGGTCTCCCCATCTCCTGCTGTGGGGCCCTGAGCGGGGTCCTTCCAGGTGGGGAGGAGGGGAGCGAGGCAGACGGCTCAGTGGCACAGGGGCCCGGGAGGGCCAGTTGGGGAATAGGCAGAGCCCTGCCCAGGGGACTCTGGGACCGGAGGAGAGGCACTTTGCTGCCAGGGAGGCTCTCAGTGCCCTCCCCACCCAGTTTCGCCAGCGGCCGTGGTCTCAGGGCCCCACTCCCAGCCTCCGACAGTTTGGCCACATCCATCCCAGACCCCCTGGGCTAGGCCGAGACCCTCAGGCCCCACGGGGCAGGGTCATTGACCTATTTTTAAAAGGTGCAAAGGGGCCTGTGTAGGGGCTGGGCCTGGAAGAAAGGATGGATGGGAAGAACCTGAGCAGGTGAATGAAGGGTCAGGTGAAAACACCTGCCCGAAGCTGCTTGTTTGCTGAGTGCAAAGTTCAGCTAAAAACAGCTGACCTGTATGGACAATGTTAAAGAAATTAGCAAACGGCCCTGGCCCTTTGCATGTGTCCTTGGAAATACATACGGGGAGGAAGTTAGCTGCGGAGGCCATTTTCTCCTGCAGACTTTGGTCTCTTCCCTTCTCTCTAAGCACTGTTTCGAGTAATCATTCCTTCCCTCACCGCCGAGCTCAGGAGCAAAAGCAGCTGCAACAGCCCTGTTTCTGCTTTCTTGCAGACAGGGTACCTCTCGTCCCCTTCCTCGCTCGGGGTGCTGGGGGCTGGGCAGGGTGGGGGTGGGCCCTGGCCAGGAGCCTCCAGACATGGCTGAGTCCATTTCCGTTGCTGGCGAGGACGGGCGGGATGAGATCGGCCCTGGCTGGAGGGAAGCTCTCGTGCCAGGATCCCATCTCCCTTGTCAGGGTCAGGCTGGCCCCGGGGTCTGGCTGCGTTCTGGAGGGGAGGCACCACGTCCAGCCTGGAGACCAGTGGCCTAACACCCCAGTCCCTGCAGGGGAGGGGCAGCCAAGGTGGGGCTCTAGGGGAGCCTGGGCCCCCGCTCACAGGAAAGGTGGTGGGCGGATGGGGGAGTCCAAGGGGGACAGTCCCAACCCAAACCCCACTGCCCCCCAGCACCCAAGGTGGTTTCCTGCTCAGAGATACTCTGGACACAGGTGGGTGTGATCTCAGTGTCCCCAGAAATGGGGATGGGGGACAGGGAGTGTCTGAGAAAGAAGAGGGCTCAGGCTGGTGTTCTGCCGCCTCCGCCCTTACTCGCGCGCAGGCCTTTGGTCCACCTGTTCCCCAGCCTAAGGCCCTCCACCCCCCCACCTCTGGTCTCAGCTGAGGTGTCAAGACCAGAAGCTCCCACCTGCCCCCTGTTAGCACAGCCCCCCACTGCTGCTGTGCTGTGGTGGCAACGTCCTCTCCCCGAGGACAGGGCCCTTGGTAATCGGGTCTCCAGGGCCGGGCAGAGACCCCCCACTCTCCCAGGAAGGGCCACTCCCGCAGGTAAGCCTTTGGGGGATCCTGTGTGTCCGCGGGCATCTGCAGACCGCACCTCGATGTGTGGGCGGGACTCGCGTTCACCGCCGTTCCTCCCTGTTGGCGACTGCGAACCTCTAGGGTGCGGGGCGCCGGCTCCCCCCGCAGGCCGGGCTGCCCCAGGAGTCCCCTCCGCCCAGACGGCGCTGGGGGCGGGGAGGGCGGAGGGCTGCGGGCGCAGGTGTGGCCCGCGCCGCCCGCGGATAATGGCCGCCTGGAGACGCGGGGGGCG